GTGACAAACTTTGACGGCTCAACAGTTGAATCATGTTGCATGCTGCATGTCTGTGACAAACTTTGACGGCTCAACAGTTGAATTTTCCCGATGAATTCTCGACACTTTGATATGAAATATTTTGTTACTTTGTGGTTTTACATTTATTTTGTTCCCAATTCCAGTTTGTATTTGACTGAAACTTCGTTTTAGTGTTCGCTTGAAAATATTTCTAAACAGAACGTAGGCAAAAGGGTTAGCGATAAATCCTGAGAGTGCGATCTTCATAGCAACAAGGTCTAAGGTCTTGTTCGGCAAAACTTCGAAGTAATTGCAGAAAAGACGTACCTAAATAAAAAATAAATAAGAGTAGTTAAGATTAGAATTTCTTGCACTCCTCTTTTAGGCCTATATCTCCCACGTGTCGAATATCGAATATATAGAGCTTTCAATTCAGTAATGTATTTCCCAGAACTGCTAAAAATCTGCTAAAATAAAGTGGAAACTGTTCTCTACTTCTAGAACAATACCCATCGGAGTTTCGACATCWTGTAAATCCTGTAATGACGTAAGAAAAACCTTTGTTTATCTACTTTTCTTTTGGACCTGRAATTCGTTTTTTTAAAAGATTTACGTCACACTTAATTAAAAGCCCTATAACGTCAGCGGTTTGTACATGTGACGTAGTTCCACGTTTGAAACGTTTGATATTAAAGGTTAGGTTAACCAAGTTGATCCTGTTTKGCAGGAAGCGGGACAAAGTCAGACCCTACCCACCCACATCCCTTCATTATCGCGCAGACACAGTACAACATTGCGAGGAACAGGGTTCTTGTAGCGTTTGTCCACCCCTGAAACTTGTTGTGTGCATTACTGATCACAGGAGTTGAATCACTCACTCCTTCTGCAACATCTTGCGCACTAAAATTAATAGTGTGAAGAGAGCCATRCAATGTTTTGACAGTTTCAGGTAATCAGGTTACACTAAAGCGAAAACCGCTGAACAAAAATCTTAGTATAGCAGCAGGCGTGGTTATCAAAAGAAGACGTTGTATTGGAACAATGTTGCGTGATCTTGTCGCAACCTATGTCACTCTCGATTAAAATGTGTTGCGCGAAATGTTGCCTAATGTAGTCCGTTGTTTCATATAAATGATAACTGGTCTCTAAATTAAGCAAAACGTAACCTCCTACTCAATAGTAGCAACGCGCAACGTTTGTGGGGAGGGAGCGTTACGTGACGACCGACACTAAAAACGGATGCGAGGGAGACTAGYTCATACCTGCAGATTAAGTAAAAATAAATAAAACTTACTGTTAAAGGTAGCCATGTTAGCAAGAATATCAAAGACACTGAAGCCACGAACTGAGCCATCTGTTGTTCTTTCTTCGCCGCTATACATTTATTATTCTTTCTTCTTGAGTTCCTGTTTAGCTCCAAGGGAAAAATCCTGCAGACGCTTTTCTTCAGTTTCCAGACGAGATAAAAGACTACGATATTTGAAGTCAACATCGTTGTAACTACAGCTACAGCTATTAGTCCTAGGATGATAATAAACACTCTGTCCTTTGGACTCGAAGAATATAGGTCAATRTGGCAGACATATGATCCAGTCTGACTCAAAATGTAGTTCCCAATACCCATGAATGGAAGAGAAGCGACCAGAAGGCATATTGTTACTATGGCAACGCAGATTGCACGTGCTAGAGACGGTGAAGCCGCTGTCTTGTAGAAGAACGGCTTGCATAGTGAAACAGTGCGATCGATGGCCATGAATGTGACGATGGATCCTGATGTAATACAACAGGTTGTCGTGGAGAATGCCTACAAGAAAAATACATTGACGGAAGTCATAACCTATAAGTCAATATCACGTACCCAGAGCCAGCGTTTCGTCTGGCCTGCGCGGGCAAAGAACGAGGGCTCTGGCATCATCCATTTTTTTGAGACCAGGATTTCTTGGACTTCAGGTATAAGAGCGCATGCGTTCAAAAACGCAGGCTTTGGGTACGAGATTATTGCTTTCAATCTTACTTTATACTAGAAATTTCACGCAAAGAGAGAGATTAAAGACAGATCTAGTAATGAAGTCACTTCGTCAACAGCTGTGTTTTTTACAGTGACATCAATATCTTTGAGCAAACAATTTGCATCAGTATAGTAAAGAGTTTCGTCGCGCGCTGTGATTGGTCGAGCGACCACGGTGATTCTGARACGATAGTCACTGTTCGAGTGGTGATTATGAGCTTTTCCAAAGTTTGCCAGAGCAGAAAAAATACTAAARCGCTTTTTATTCCTGAAATTTTGTCCTTTTTCTGATATTCAAGTACGTCCAAAATTTACACTAATAAACACGAAACTCAAAGGCTCGCGGGTTGGTAAATATTCGCCGATTTTCACTTCGACGAATAATGAATTGTTAAATTTCACATTTTTGCATTGGGCAAAAATTTTCCCTACGGAGTCATAGTACGTGTGTAAGGAGTCTTAGGCACTGAGGAACAATTTGAAAATATGCTTTTGCGTAGAATCCTTTCCCCTCGATTACTTTTGTATGTACTTTTTGCGTTAAACGTGGCTAGTGCTTCGAAGTGCTGGATATCCCTTTATAGCCACTTAAGGGCCTGAAATAGGTAATACAAAACTTGCCTGGTTTTACATAAGCACACTCAAACACAAGACGTACCCCGTATATTTTAAAAATGTTGGCTCAACTCAAGCACAGACACTAAGTGTTAAAATCTTTCTTACTTGTGCTTGCATTTTAATTTCGTATATGCTTTCGTCACTATAGTGAAAATTAAAGCATTTTCAAAGTTTTAAAAAATATCCTATATGGTCGAAGAAACATTAATTTCAGCTTTTAARCACTAGTAAAAGGTTTTTACATGTTGAAACTTTGAGCGGCTAATTTTTGTATACGACTCGCGCGGCTTTACACAAGTTTATTCACTCAGGAAAAGGGTTTTACCTATTTCACTGTTTTGTAAAACGTTTTTGGCGAGAGTCCGAAAGTTTCACAAAAACGTAGAGAAATACTTTCTTTTCCTGTATCTGAAAATTTTGAGGCAAGGAAGCTCATTTTTTTCAAGTTCTCTCGCCCTTTTTGATTTTATATATTTATTATCATATTCTAACAGGAATTTCCACTTCATTCTAGGGCTATAGTTCATGGAATCCTGTAATAATATGAGTGCTGTTTTTCGCCACGCGTTTCATTCGCCCTACTCTTTTTTTTCGTGTTAGTATACTAAAGTGCAGCCGGTTCGTCAAGGAACTTCACCCCCATATRCAGAAAGCCTAGGATTGCATATTGCATGTTATAACAAGATATTATTGCCACAATCAAAAACCAGCAACTAGTTAAAGGTAAAAAAACTATATTGAAACATGCCTTGGAAATGAAACAACGATACTATATAGTAAAAATTTGACGCTGCAATTAGAAATGAAACAATTTTTTTTTTAATCGTGCGTTTATATTTTTTTCCTTTTTCTTTCTTGGAATAAGTCTGTTCGAGCAAAAAATAATTTTAATTGATACGTAGAACTGAGAACATCCATTTTTTTAGAGTTTTATTTTAATTTATTATCTGTATAATTGATCAAAACATTAATATACATAAAAAATCATGAACGTAAATTAATCTAATTAAAGTTATCTTCGTAGGGAGGAAAAATGAGCGTTTTGTTGGAGCTATACCGTTTGCAAATCTCAGGAATTATGACGCTGGAATCATAGTCAACTTACCGAGTCCTGTGCTGCTTAAAACGTAAATGGAAACTAAGTATGATACGGCTTAGACAGATTATGTATCTTATGTTTATTTTATTTTATTTTTGCTTTTATCCTACCTGTATTTGGCATTGTGGATACTCTCCAATCCATCCATTCCCAACAACAAGACCATGGAAGACAAAAGAACTCGTTAATAGCACTCCAGTAAAATCTACCCAAGTCAGAGCAGCCACGATAACCAATGTAGACGTCTTCCCGACAAAAAACTCTCTTCCTAATGCTAATACAGCTATAGAGCAGCCAATTATCCCTATACATACTACTACGATGAATGAAATGGTTTCGGTCTCCGTGGGCGACGTAATACAGTTGTTCGAACGGTTGTGAGCTATTTCACAATTCATGACTTTAAGCTCAGTTGCACTGGCTTTTTAGTTGTGATCAAAACTTTTTGCCGAAGCTGTTGTCTCGTCGACCGGACTCCTTACGAAACTGAAACACTTGGATTAAAAATGTTTAGTGCTCATCAAAATTTGCATTTCGGAAGAAAAATAAAAATAACCGGAAATACTCAACCTTGGAAGGCGTTTTTCTGTGCATCAGTTGATGAATGGAAAAGGTGTTTAATCATAATATCGACAAACAGAGAAGGTYTTGGATGACTGTCAAACTTAGAAAGCATGAAATATCATGATGGGGGACTTAATTATATTTGAATGGTCACAGGATAAAGTAAACAAAAAATGTTGTAATTAGAAAAATAATTTTAATCCTAAACGAACGATGGAACGATATGGCCCAGTCAAAAACAGTTAAATTTCGACGTGCTAAGTCAACTGTATTATTATACTCATTATTAACTCTAAAGACTGGACCAACTTAGGCCTTGCGTAGTAAACTTTAAGATTACGTTAAATTTTCCCCGTTTAATTTCGAAAAAATAAAAATGTGTTTTTAAATTCGTAATTGACAAGTTTTTAGACCAGTTGGTCATAATCACCGAAAAAAAAAAAACAACTCTCAATTCTCAAATCTCAAGATATACTTCCCGCGTCTTAATTTTAAAATATGAAAAAAAGAAAAAAATTCTTTTCTTTTTTACATATAGATATTATATATAGAGATGTTTGCATGTATATTCTTTTTTTTAAATGTACATGTGCCTGTAGGGGCTAACCTAAAATCACTTTTGTGACAGTGGGCTCCCTTTTAAAAGAACTATTATTATCATTATTATTATTATTATTATTATTATTATTTTTTTTTTTCATTTTTATTTTTGTTATTAATTTGCTAAGGGAAATTCCCCCAATGGTCAAATCGAACGAAGAACGAGTTGTTTTTCCTCACCCCACTCTAAACGAATGTAAATTTTAGATTAAGATATACCGAAAACACAATAAAACTTATTTCTTCCTTAAGTGCTAGATAGAACATTAAGATAGCCAACACTTATGACAGCTTGGGCCGGGGATTGTCCAAAGTGCATGCAGAGGCTTGTCAGTTACGTTACGAAGCCTACGTTCTCTAATTGAATCAATGACATGCATTGACGAACAGCTTGTCAAGTCCCCGATAGTACTATTTTCGAAGGTTATTTGTTTAAGTTTTCTTTTTTTAAATCTCTGGCGAGGTTTTAAGTGAAAAAACCACGGAACCAATAAACAGATAAGACTAAGACGACAATCAAGTACCTAAAACTTCATCAGTTGATTAAATATAATAAAACACCTTAACCGTTATGAAAAAAAAAAGTTGTCATTCATGTTTTATCTATAAAGATTCCCCCTGTTCAGTATACGAGCTTTCAAGAGTTTCATAAAAATGATTACGAATCATTTGGTGACGAATTTTCTTTGCATCACTCGAATTACGATCTCTCTCTCTCCCCCCTGTTCGACAAAAGCAATGAAATAAGATTAATTTAATACAATTTTCAATTAATTCAGCTTAATTGGTTATAGCGAAAATAGAAAGAACTTTAATGAAATCCGTTAGATTTCTTAGCTTTGAGCACCGACCGCTGACCCATTGAACAAATATTTTGAATTTTTTTAACGAATATTTCAAGGGTCAAATTTTTTTTTRAAATATAACTTAAATGATTTAAACCGGAGAAGCTTTTAGTAGATATTCAAAATCCTGTTTTTAGAATTCGATTGCAGTCACTTAGATGTTTATTTAGGGAAAAACTTTTAATTGCTATTCGGTCCATATAACACCAGCTAAGCCTGATGTTGTTTGCTCTGTAAACATCGCTTGTCAATCCATCTTCTACTGTGTAAACACATCTAAATACTCAATTCGTACAAAACAACAGTTTTCTCCATTTGTCGAAAAGAAATATCACTAAAATCAATACGAATTATCATCATCATCATCAT